GGCGCAGCGCAGCGCAGCGGCGACGGCGGCGCGGGAAGGGGGAGGAGAACCACCAGCCAGCCAAGCACTTCCAGCAAGCTGCGAGCGAGCGGGCCGCGCGGCTCGAGGGAGGAGGGCTCGCCCCCACCCGCCCGGCCCGAGCGGAGCCTTTTGTTCCCAGCTAGAAGTTTGCATGCCGGGACCGTGACAGCTGCGGGCGGGGAGGACCGCAGGGTAGTAGGGCCGGCGGCGCGGCGGAGAATAGAGGCGGCTGCTTGTCATGCAGTCCACGGCGCGGCGGCTGCGGGCTGAGGACTGGCGGCGGCGGGGGAGGCGGCGCCCACAGCACACGGGACTCAGCTGCCAGAGGAACAAACTAACTTCCTGAGCGCGGGACCTGAGCCCGGCGCGGCCGGGAACCACCTGCCAGCCTGCGGTGAGGTGACCCTGGTCCTCGGGGCGCGCGGCACTGCGCGGGGGAGCGGGCGGTGCTGAGCTAGCCCCTCCGACAGCCCCTTAGCGGCTGCCGCTTGTCCGCCTCCGCCTTCAGAAAGGCCCAGCGCGCGGCTCCACTCGCCTTGTTTTGTGGCCACAGCGCAGGTCTGGCCTGGGAGCCACAACAATGCCATGATGTTTTGGAGACAGGAAGCCCCAAACTGGCCCCGAATGAAGGACTTCCTGTGTTTAAAGTTGCAGGAATATCCTCCGACCGGCCCAGTTCAAATGCAAAGACCCCAACTAGGGAGGACGGAATGGCTAATTCAGACCAGCTGGACTCTCCTGGGCTGAAACGGAGGATAAAATGAAAAGTATTCTTAGGAGCTTGGGCCATACTTGAAGACTAGAGAGGCAGTGCCATTGTTATTAAAGAACACAGTCGGTATAAATTTGCTGCTTCCAACTCTTCTTCAGTGAGAAGTGAGTGGAACTATATATTGAAGAAGACTTGTAAATATCAAATGATTTTTGTTGACTGAATTCAAAAGAGCAGTGCTCTTTTAAAAGTAAAACCAGAAGCCATACAAGGAATTACTTTGTTGATTAAATTATAACATTTATCTGTCTGCAACTATGAGGCTGCTAGCTTATGAGGAAAAAGCTGTTTGTCTTAGAGCTTCATCCAGAATTGTTTCAAAGTGGGACTCCAGGTCTCTATTGAGGGCAGATGCAATTGGTGGTTTGGAGTATGAGCATGTAAAAGGATTTATAGCTCATGTAAAATGCATTTTGGGGGAACTTTTGAAAAAACTTTTGAAAGATTGATGATTCATCTTGATTGAAAAAGTATGGGTAAGCCACTCAGCAGGCCAGACTGTTTAAGGCGCAACCCCACTTGCCTGGGGAAAGGGGAGGATGAGGACGGCTATATAGAGGATTGCTATGTTCCACAGCGGTCTATATATGATACAATGAGGATAAATGAACAGATTGACCAGGGATCAAAGCTTAATCAGACTTCAAAAAGCACCATGGAGAAGATGGAAGGAAGTACCATATCCAGCAATGGTACATTAGGTGCAGCAGCTAATGTTTTTGAATCGAGAGCACCAGAAAGCAAAAAGCTGGATGAAAGAATAATCTTTGATGCATTAAAGCTAAGCAGTGACGTACAGAAGTCGGCACCTGTGCCACCCAGACGGCGGCCAAATGCAGAGCGCAAAGACAATGTTAACAGAAGATCTTGGAAGTCCTTCATGCCTCCCAACTTCCAAGAATTTGCAGAAAGAATGGAAGCTTCTCTCAGTGAAGTTTCAGAAGCTGGTGCTTCAAATCCTTCTTTGCAAGAGAAGAAAGAATCCAGTTCTGCATTAACAGGAAGTTCTGGTAATTTGGACCACAGGGAACCTCAATCAGAGTCACTAACTTTGGAACATGTGGCCAAATCTACAGGTATTCCAGGAGTGCAAGATATGAAAAACTTAAGTGGAGACTGCCAGGACTTCAGATTCCAGCACCACAGTGAGAGCTCTCCCCAGGAATTCCATCCTGTAGAATCAGAAACTGCAGCAGCAAGTGGTAACACAGATGTAACACAGGAACACAAATTCTCAAGTGCAACCTGGCCCAGGGCCACGAAAAGTTCTGCTACAGGAAGCTTCAGCGAGAAGCAGCACCCCCTTGGGGACACAGCCTGTACTGTGGAAATACCACCTCTCTCACCTTGCCTCAGTGAAGAGTTGTTGGATCCAGAACTGCATATTCTCGTAACCCCCAGTCTTAGAGAGAAAACAGAGTCTGAGCTAAAGTTTGAGGAGGATGAACGATGGATCATGATGGAGGCTGAGGAGGAGTGGGAGGAAGAGAAACTGTCAGAGAGAGAAAAGGCTCTTCTAATGGCAGATGAGAACAGCTTGGCAGATATTTTGGAAGAAAGAGAACAAGCAAATACGGTAGCAGTAGTAGAGGATGGAGCCAGTTGCTTAACTGCCATTTTGGGGACTTTTGTCTCCCTACCTCTTGATCAGATTTGTTACTCTGATAACCCACAGACAGCTAGGGAACATTTGGCTTCTGAGCCCGAGGATGCACCCCTGGTTTGCAGTTGTGTTCCTGCAGGTGAGGATGCTATTGAGAGGAAAAATGGAACTGCTCAAGGGCTAGAGCATCTTGTTTCAGAATTAGAATGTACTGTTGGGCCTGTAGATGCAGAGCAGCTCTCGGATACAGATTCAGAGCAGATGTTTCTTGAACTTGAAAAGGAGTGTTTATGTGAAGAAGGAGTAGTTGAGCCACAGAATCAAGCCTCTTCTGAAGGGCTGGCCCCATCCCAGGATGCAGAAAATTCACTTGTAATTAGTCATTTTCCAGGGGCTGCCTTAGAAAAAGAACAACATTTAGGCTTTTTAAATGTTAGAATAAAGGATCATGGTACCGGATTGGATTGTGAATATTTTAATGCCCTGGATTCTTCTCAGGTACCTAATGCTAGAGAACTTGTTGCCTACCCTGAAATCATGAGGGACAATTCCACAGTTAGCAAGGAGTATGAAAAAGTGCCTTTTAGCCCCAAGACTGGGGAGGAATTTAAGTCTCCAGTTGATCTGGAATCACTGAGAGAGCTGAACCCAGGAGGATTGCTTATCTCTGATCACAGGGCTTCTTATGAACAAAAACTATCAGGCTTTGTTGCTTCTGAGCTAGCCAAAGAAGATGGTAATTTGTTCCAGGTAGACTGCAATCAAACTGAGGAAAATGTTGAGTGTATTGAGAGTGTACCCCTCAGTTTTGCTTCTAACTATGAACTAACAGTTGTAACCTCAGGACCTAAAGTAGAGGTGTTATTGTACGATTCAAATTTATTAACAAATGAAATTAATTTGGAAAGTGAAAAAGGAGCTATTAACCAAGAAAATAACAGTCTGGCATCCTTAGAAAATGCAGTCCCTTGTGAATTGTCCATACATAAAGTTTCTAATGAGGCTAGTGAGGCAAAAGAGCTGGATTATCAAGCCAAGTTTGGGGGGGATGGAGCCCCAGCACATTTTAATACAGATTTCCCAGAGCAGGTCTTCCAGGATCTCCAGAGGAAGTCCCCAGAGTTAGAGATTCTGAGTCTGCACCTGCTTGCTGGAGAACTGAGACATGGTAGTGATGGAGTGGAAACTCTGAATGATGTAAAGCCTAAGCCAAATGTGTCGTCATCACAGGGAGAAATGGAAGTGAGAGATTCAGATCCATTCCTGAATATCTTTGCAGAGGAACAAGTTACCAAAGCTGGTAATACTGAACCAGTTTTAGAGGAATGGATACCCAGCCTACAGAGACCTGCCCCAACTGCTGCAGTGCCTGCTGTAGAAAATGCCCTTGATGCTACAGTGCCCACCCCAGAGGGTACTGCTATAGCTGCTGATGTTGTGTCCTTTCCAGAGGCTAACATCCCGGTTGTGTTAATGGTCACCCTAGAGGAGGATGTTACAACTGCAACAACTGCTGAAGTCTCGGGCCCAGAGGTGGCTGCTGCTCCTGCTCTTGGAGTGCCTGTTCCTGAGGAGTCTGTTCCAATTGCTGCAGTGTCCTCCTCAGAGGGGACTGCTGTAGTATCAGTCAAAGAGAATGACACCCCAGAGGGGCCTGTCTCCCCAGCTCCTGCAGGGCCCACCACCCCAGAGGAGCCTTCTTCTCCAACTCCTGCAGGGCCCACCACCCCAGAGGAGCCTTCTTTGGCTCCTACAGGGCCCCCCACCCCAGAGGAGCCTGCCTCCCTGGTTCCTGCAGGGCCCACCACCCCAGAGGAGCTTGCCTCTCAGGCTCCTGCAGGGCTCACCACCCCAGAGGAGCCTGATATTCAGGCTGTTAGTGTGTCCACCCCAGAAGGGCTAGCCACCCCAACTGCTGCAGTGCCTGCTCTAGAGGAAGTTTCCCCCGCTAGTGGACCCTTCCTGAGAGGTGCTGTACACGCTGATTCAGTGCCTATTGCAGAAGGCGGTACTCCTGTTCTGGGGGAGGCTTCTGCCACTGGAATGTGGATCAAGGAGGACCTGGATCCTTCAGCATTTGGAATAAAAGAGGTGCCTGGCACATTGCTACATGGGAAAATGCCTCTGACTGCAACTGGTGGATTAAATTCAAATGAGGTAATTGTTGTTCATTTTGTTGCCAGAGAGGGTCTAGAGAATAAAATGAGATTGGTGAGTTCTCAGACTTTGTGATAACAGACATTGTGATAATGAGAAATGGCAGGTAGTCATTTCTTTTGTTCTTTTTTGCCCCACCCCACCCAGAATTATAATTTCCAGACTTTCTATTGAGTTTTTCCTAGTGAAAAAACTTTATAAATCATACTCTTTATTTTTTATTCAGATAAGACTAAGGATCTAGGGATGTAAGTAGTTATTGATTTACATTTTTTTAAAAAAGACCATTAATAGGAAAGGGTGATTCTGGTTTTGAAATAGATAGCTGGCTTTCTCCTTCCTAAATTTAGAGATTGCCTATTAATCAGTGATGTCAGCAGTTAGGTGGAGGCCCGAGTGTGAGCTTTGAGATGTAGAATAGCTCTTAACCATTCTGGGAAAATTATATTTTCTGAGCCTTAAGTTTCCTCATTTAGTAAGGCAGAACCCTTTGAAGTTTATAAGGATAAAATGAGATAGTACATGTAAAGAACCAAGTGTGTAAGATGTCTATTGCTAACTGTACCCTCCCTTTCCCCTTCAAATAGATAGTTGGGTTAGGTAGAATTCACCAAAGCAGATTGGGGAAAAGCAATATAAAGATGTGTGAATAACAGGCTTTTTAATTCAAATGTGTTTCTTAAAGCCAGAGGTATTATTTTTTTAAAAAAAAAAAAGTAGAAGTATTTTAGTAATTTTGTGAAATTGCCTTTGTGTCGTTAAGCAAGTCATTTTGCTTTCCTGGACCTCTTGTTTCTTGATGTGAAAAAAAAGAATTGGGCTGAAGTGATCTCTTGAATCTTTCATAGCTCTTAAGATTTTAAATGTTAGCAGAATATGTGGGAAAATGTTCTACATCCTTGAACCCTCTAAGTTAAAGGAATTTGAGAACAGCATTCTGCAGTTTACCATCCAGGTATCATTTGGAATAGGTGAGAAGTAAAGGATTTAGAGGTTTAATCTAATAGTCAGGAATAACTGAATTAAGAGGTTGTTGTGATCTTGCTCTGTCCGCAAGACCTGAAACTGCCCTTTTTACATTAGGCATTCACCATTGACTGAGTTAATGAGTATCAATCTCCTGGAGTAACAACGAATGCTTCAATAAAGATGGGTCCTTTCCTCTACCCCATTGCAGAGTCTTTCAGGGCAGCCGTAGTCTGGTAGGACACCAATTAAATGTACAGCTGCCATCCACAAAATAATTTTTGATTGCATCCCATAAGCTACCAATTTTGCCACAGATCTGCTTAACTGAGTTGTGGTTTCACTTTGGAGTTCACCAATTATTTTGTAATGAGATTCTATCAAATTAGAATGCATCACCTTTCAGATTTTTGGAATTTTTTTTTATTCTATTTTCTGAATGTTATTGAAGATAGGGTTGACACTGACTTCCCAGTATCCTTTTCAAAGTCAAGACAATAGGTCAGTGGCAGAGTAAATTTCTTGCACTGACATTCTCGATAATACAGACTATTTCTATGGGCATAAAGCCTACAGCAAAGATCAATGAAGTACAGGGATTAAATTTGGTTTTTTTTTTTTAAAGAGAGAGTGATGGAGAGAGAGAGAGAATTTTTTTAATATTTTTTTTTTTTAGTTATTGGCGGATACAACATCGTTGTTTTATATGTGGTGCTGAGGATCGAACCCGGGCCGCACGCACGCCAGATGAGCGCGCTACCGCTTGAGCCACATCCCCAGCCCCAGGGATTAAATTTGTAAGGAGCCAGTCAAATCTGTATAAAAACTCAGAGAAATTCTTAGTATTATTCTCCAGAATCTATTTCTTTAACTGCAAAAATTAGTAGATGGGACTAGGTAATCTCTTAGGATCCTTCCAGCTGCAGGAGTTAGTCATTTTATGAAATACTGACTGATTAAAATAACAGGAAAAGGACAGGGTTGTGGTTCAGTGGCAGAGTGCTTGCCTGGTATGCATGAGGCAACACATAAAAAATAAATAAGCTGGGCACAGTGGTGCATGCCTATAATCCCAGCATCTCAGGAGGCTGAGGCAAGAGGATCATGAGTTCAAAGCCAGCCTCAGCAATTTAGCAAGGTCCTATACAACTAGGTAATACTCTGTCTCTAAATATAAAGTACGAAAGGGCTAGGGCTGGGGCTCAATGGTTAAGTGCCCTGGGTTCAATCCCAGGTACCAAATAAATAGATGTATTGTGTCCACCTGCAACTAAAAAAGTTTAAAAAGAAGTTGGGCGCAGTGGCATATACCTTTAATCACAGCATTTGGGAGGCTGAGGCAGGAGGATTTCAAGTTCAAAGCCAGCCGCAGCAAAAGCAAGGTGTTAAGCAACTCAGTGAGATCCTGTCTCTAAATATAATACAAAATAGGGCTAGGGATGTTCAGTGGTTAAGTGCCCTTGGGTTCAATCCCCAGTACTCCCCCCACCAAAAAAAAAAAAAAATTAAAAAGGAAATGATAGCTTTTCTACAAGATTGTCCATTTTTGAAGAACAGTTATTTCCTGGAATATGTGGAAGCAAGCAGATGTCTACATCTGTGCACAGAAAAAGACAGATCTAAGCCTGAGTCCCAGCCAAGAATGTTAGCCAGTAAGAATAAAGAGTGGCTATTTTAAAAATATTTATTGAAACAAATTGTTAGAGTTAACCAAAGTATAGGATTTTCTAAATTGATGAAATATTTTAAAAAGTTTTATAAGATGAGAGATTTATGAATTTTATTTCTTCATTTTTAGAGGGTTGTTAGAGGCAATTGAACCTGTCATTTCTAAGCACACTTAGAACACAATAAGTAATCAAGCCTGTAATGTGATTTAGAGTGATCCTCTGTGTACATGTTATGTATAAATGTACACATTTATACCTGGTTAAAAATATAGAAAGACTTTTTAAAAGTCAATAACAACAGTTTGGTAGAGAAGCATAATGCTAAAACTTGTTTGCCATTTCTGTAGTGGGAACTGAGGCCCACTAAGCACAAACTGTGAGTCACTGGTTCAATGAAAAGGGAAAAAAAAAAAAAAAACTTTTGTATAAAGTAGAGATTCTTTACAATTAAAATTTATCAAGGAATCTTTTTAAGTGAAAATTGGGAAGCAACACAATCTCAGTTTAGTGTTTGAATGCTCACCTGATTGTCAGAAACTTGATGGGTTTGTTTGCTTTTCCTAACAACAGTTTCTATAATTAATTCATTCATGGAATAAATATTTATTGAGAACCTACTCTGTGCCAGATACTGGGTTCCCTCTCCGAACAGAATTAGCATGGTATCTGCCCTTGTGGAACCTATACTAGAGTGGGGGAGGTGGTGTCAAGCAAAAAATGACTCATCTAAATATACAGTTACAAACTATGATCGTGCTTTTTATTTAAAGATATCAGTAGATTTGAAGGTAATTTGATAGAAGCAAGAAATATTTTGGAAGTAGCCAACAAGACCTGATAACAACTTTTTTGTTGGGTGTGAGGGAGAGGGAATCAAGGATGACTTGTACAACCAAGTAGATGAGGACAATAGTTAATTTTGATTTAGAGAAAAACAAATTTTAGGTAACAGAAAAGTAGGAGATACTGATTCATTTTGGAAGTTAGGTTCAAGATGGCTATGAACCATTTGTATATAAGTAATAAGAAAGCAGTTGGATATTTAGATTTGAAAGATGAGAGATAATGGAGAATCATAAGCATTTTGCAGGACTAATATTTAAAGCCATGAGAATGGACGGAATTGCCCAGGAAGAATATGGAAAAAAAGAGGTCCTAGAATTGACATTTTCCCCTCATCCCCACCTCCAAGTACTCTTAACTTTAGAGGTCTAGAAGAAAAAGAGGAGGAGAACAAAGGACATTAAAAAAAAATAATAATGATCAATCAGGATGAAACTGGAATGATGTGATTATCACCAAAGATAAAAGTGTTCTTCTTTGGGAAATTTTTTGTTTTATGTCCCAGTTGCATCTTACAACAATTTATAAGTGTGCAGCTCTGGAAAATGTCTGCCAGTGTTGCTTATTTAATAATATGGCATGGTCCCATTTCACTGAACTGTGAAATACTAAGGAGTAGAAATTTTAATGCATCTAATAGCACAAGTTCTGCAAAACAGTTTTAATTAGGAGTTGAGAGAAGCAAATAAGTGTTTTTAGATTTACTGTATTTAATATTATTTGCTTGGGTTCAAAATAAATACCTCGATAATACTTATTTAGAGATACTTTCCTATGTTTTTTAACTTCTGCAAAATGATGGAGACAAATGCCCATTGTCCCTGTCAACTTAATCAATAAACTGGAGATCAGAAACAAAGGAATATCTAATCCTTTATAGGAAATGTTTGTAAACAAAACCAAATTTTTAAAGAATTAGTTGTATTTTATGAAGAAATTATTAAGCTTTAAATATATTTTACTTTTCTGTATCATGTTCACTGTCCAATAGAACTTCTGCCTAGATAGAGATGTTCTCTATTCATGACATATACAATAAATAGGCACTAGCCACATGTAGCTCTTGACCACATAAAATGAGGCTAGGAATGGAATTTTTATTTAAATTTAACTTGAAATAGCTACTTGTAGCTGCTGGCTCCAATGTTAGATAGCACAGAAGGAATATAAATGCCACCTATAGTATAAGACAGAATTGGATTATTGGGTAAAAAGGGATCTTCCCTTTGTACCTCTGGTGCTCTTCTTTGCCACCGTCACCACCATTGCTGTATTGCACCAAAGTTACTTTAAATGTGGGAGAGACACACCCACACCCGCTGGCTTCTGCTTATTTATCTTCAATGATAACATCTTTAATGTTACAAAGAGGAATTATAGCACTTGCATTTCCTGAGAATCATGTTGTTGGAGAAAGTTATTTAGCTAAACTGCTATGGAGTGTTGCCTAACATATGGTTTAATCAAATTATAATACAAAATGAAGTGCACTGATAATTACCTTTTGTAACCTTCTTTTTTCAGTGTTCCGCTGGGGCTTTCCCTTTCTACCGACTCACTTATCCAACCATAGACCATTCTTCCTGGAATCAGATT